CCAGCAAGAGCAATATAACACCCACATTTTCCTGACTAACAAAAACAGTTCAAGCAGTCAATACTAGGTACCAAAAAAGATAACATTCACCTCTGCTCATAAGAAACAACATCAACCATCCTTTTCTTAGGCGTTTCCAGATTATTGAAAGGAAAAGAGTCACTAAACCCTGCATGAGCCCCTACTGCTCCAGCTGTTTCCCATAATTTACAGGCACAGGCTGCACATAATGAACTTTTTATTCTTAACTAAATCACAGCATTAATACTAAGACATTTTTAACATGCAGCATCTTGCTCAGGTTTACCAGCTCATGCATCAGTTTTTTCATGCCATTCTGCACAACACTATGAAGCAGGAAGGTTTCAGGAGGCCTGTTGTGACACAAGCAGCCGGGATGCCTCGCAGCAAGAAAAGTACAGCTTGGAAAGCCTCAAATACCATAAGGCCTATATACGAGGGCTCAGTGAGGCTCATTCTGTAAATCATGTAAAGGGAGGTAAAATGATAGTTAACCCGTCAAAGGCGAATTGTCATCAGTCTTTCTGAATGCATAAAAAAAAAAATGAATGTGCACATTTAAATGGAATTTCAAGAGATCAAAGAGAACTAAAATACATATAGGAGAGAACAGCTAGTTAACAAGATCTGATACCTGCCTTATTTCCACTATTAATCTTCAAAGTTTAATGTTTTATGAATTGAGAACTACTAAACCAATCCCATCATGAAAATACAGTAATTTATCTTTTTCATAAAATGCAAATGACTGTCAGGAATTTTCTCTGACTAAAGTGAGAAGAATGTGAGTTTCCCCTCCCCCACTTGTTGTAAGGAATGGCCAGTCAGCCAGCTGAAATATGTAAATTATGTTTTGTCTTCTTTACAACAAAGACAAAACAACATGTGTGGAAAAATCTCTGGTCTGCAAACTAAATGGGTCTCACCCTTCACCCTTGTTAAGGTGGCGCTGTGCCATTATTAGATTAAGGTATGAATGGTAGCAACTGGAAGGCCTCCTTTGCATTTAACCAGACCAACTGGTTATTAAAGGTGTATTATATCTGAGTAATTCTATAAAGAGCATTCTGGTCTCTGCAGGCAACGCCATAAACTTTAATAAATTACTAAATATTGAAATAATTAAGATAATTATCCAACAAATGGCAAAACTCTTAATTTCTGCATTATTATTGATTTCCATGCTTTTACTGACATTTACTTCTCATGCTTGGTTTACTAGCACCATGAATGACTGCTAAAAGACAAATGAGCAGTTTGTGAGGAAATGGAATATATTTCTAGATTTTTTATTACCTATTGGTTCTCCTTTATGAAAAGGAAATGTAGTGCTTCATGTTTTCGTTATGCCTTCATGTGATTTCAGTGACGAAAAGCTGATAAATTTCTCTATGTAGCTGAGAGAAAGTGGCTGGATAAGCTGTTCAGGAAGGCCAGCTCTGATTGGATGCCCTCTGGACAGGAGGTGCAGGAGGTTGGAAACAAAAGGACCGTAACTAAATTAACCTATCTGTTGGACAATGTTTCCTACCCCATGCATGAAGCTGTTGCAGTCGGAGAGCACCTGCAGTGACAGACTGCTGCACCCTAAATGCACCAGGGAGCATCATCACAGATCCTTCCTCCCAGCAGCTGTAAGACTCACTGTTCACAACAACCTCAATAAGTTGTTACATTCATGCTGATTTTGCAGTTTTTATCGTCATCAATTAAATAACATGCTGCTGTCATTTTGCACATCTCTTTTGTTGCTGCTATTTTCAAATATCCATTACAGTTAAAATATCCATAGCTGTACATTGCTTATTTATTCTCCAGGTGCACAGTATTTATATTGTTAAAACATTTTACAATAAAGTAAGTTATTTGTATATTTTTTAACTCTTTACTATTATGTTACCCACTTATCCCCTTTTTTCTAAGGTTCACATTTGTGTGACTATTCTTCTATAATCTTCTTGCTGCTGTAAACACCAGAATTTCCCTACTGTGGGACAACAAATGGATTTTCTATTCTACTTTATTCTATTCTGAAAGGTTATTGCAATGTAGGAACATCATACTAGCCCTCACCTTACATTGCAGATAGCCCCAATAAGTCATACTATTGGTAGAGTGACACATAAACATAGGGCTGATCTAAGCAGACAAAATGTAAGCTGTGGTGAAATACAAGAATAGTTCCACATAACTGAAGGAAAATGTTTTAGTGGCTGTGGGTACTTTAACTTTCCTAACACTTTTTTTTTTATACTCACTTTGTTTTCACAGCTGGGTTTGCACAGCCCTGTCCCAGATGACCTCTTTCTGTGACTGTGTGCAGAGAGACAGTAAAGGGGAAGCTGATGGGAGGACAGCAGGAGTCTAACAGTAAACCCCATTAAACTGTAGCAAAGTGAACAACCCAGTAAACCAAACAAGGGGGAAAGACCGAGACCAGCTTGAAGGGCTTTTTTTGTTGTTGTTAATGCAGTGACAGCTGTTTAATTTCTGATTAAGGCAACTTTGCCATACAATGATAACAGTTGGGGTTTAAAATTTCCTCCTAACCACTTAACCATTTATAGGGCAAGTTACATCACTTGCATACCCCTTACAAATAGAGTCTTATATATTGTTATTTTCTTAAGATATTATATATATTGACATAGATTTTTTGCCATCAAAATATCCATATTTTTTTTATGTTACAAAGGAAACAAGGTCTTGTCCTGGATACCCATAACACTATTGGCTTGAAATTTTGATTTTCAAACTATTTCAGTGCCCTATAAAGGGTTAAATGATTTGCAATCGCAACACAGGAAGCACTGTTTTATTATTTTTTGCAAGCGTCCGTAGCTACAACAGAAAAAGTTGCGAAAACCTAAGAAAAAGTCCCACCTCTCACATTGTAACATTGAGTTACTCTAAATAATTGGTGCACCCATAAAGAGTTTTAAAAGAAAGCAGCACTATACAGTGTAAGGAAACCGCAGCACAGTTTAAACGCACATCAGCTGTTTTTTGTGTGCGTGTTTTTTTTCTTTTTTTTTAAAGTTCCTGTGCGCACTAACCTGAGTAAGTCGCCCCAGGCGGCACTTTATGTTCCGCTAGTGAAAGCGATTCCGCTATTGAAACGAAAGAAACCAGAAATATATCAAAACTTGCCGTTTTTATCTATAGGAAAAGCAGTCCCGCTTTGAAGGCTGGTTGCTGGCAGTTATCGACCTTCAGCTCCACGCTGTTTCTGCAAAGCTTGCAAACAGAGCTGCTGCCAAGTCCGGCTGTCTGTTCAAACTTAAAATGCTTTCTGCTTCCTCATTGGTCAAACCTCACCATTGCGTTGCGTTCACGTGCTGCTGGTAAACGCCCATTTTTTTCATTAGGCTGCATTTACAAGTTTTCTTACGTACAAAAAGCGAAAACATTTTACAGCTTAAATATATACAATATATTCTACTAAATATAGAAACGTCAAATAAAAAGAATGACTTCCATAAACATCCGTTGCTTATTTCGGTATAATCCAATTTATTAAAAGTATATCAATCAAAAATGCCTTCTCTGCAACAGGAATGCATTTTCCACCTCTAGAGACACTTTTTTATTCTGCCAGTCAATAACAAATCCAAACTATAATTTATTTTTCTTACAAGTCGCTTCTTATGTCCGATGCAGGACCTGCCAAAAACTTTATATTATAGCGCACCCTACCGCTCAAAGTCAAACAATAAACCATGCGGCTTTTTGTTTAACCCTTCATAGGGCACTCAGTGAAATAATTTGAAAATCCAAATTTCAAGCCAATACTGTTACTGGAATACAATACAAGAACTTATTACCGTTGTAACATAAAAAAATGATATTTTGATGGGGAAAATTAATGTCAGTGTAATAACTATAACTTCCCCGAAAATATTAAGATAAAATAACAAAAGTGCATCTATAAGACATTCATGAAAAACACTCTGAGAGTGAAAAAAAAAATAAAAATTTTTTTTGTACAACCTTAGAGGCATTAATGCTGATACTGGCACCTACATTTTTTAGTTTATAAACCTAAATATAGTTCTTAACTAGGTTTATTAACTTTTTTACTTCACTTTTCAAATAGCTTTTTACCTTTTTTTTCAACTTAATTTACACTACACTGGAAAAAAAATAAAATCTACTGTAGATAAGTCCTTTTTTCTTTGAAATAAGTGCATTCGTTCTTATATTGAGGAGATAAAAGAGAAATTTTTTCAAATGGAACAAGACAGTTTAGATTTAAAATACGTATACACAATTGGATTGTCTTATTTCGAGTGCATATTGTCAAATTATCTTATTTCAAGAGTAGAAATACTCATTTACCAGTTCAACTCAAGGGTAAATTCACTTAATTTAAGAAATTTTTACTTGTTTCTAGATAATTTTTCCAGTGTAGGTAATCATTCAAGGGCTCATCTAATTGGTCAAACGGCAAAATAAGATGTACAGCCAAGTAGCAGTATCTTTGCTGAATGGCTGGATATAGATCTTGTGCTTCTAGATCTCACTGACGGACGGGGTCCATTTCTAAGGTGTATGCAAGTGATGAAAAACAGTAACTTGCCCTATAAAGGGTTAAAGTCAGTTTACACAGCCAAAAAATTACCCAGTGACAAACTTTATTGTTGTTGTAATCATTGTTAAAAGTTCTAACACAAAATGTTTGACTTTTCCGCAGAAATAAAACAACAGAAGGATTCAGACATTTGGGCATGAGGGAGTTTATTTTATGTTACTTTGGCCTAACATGCTGTCTGGTTGAAATGATGCATTTATTCAGATTGCTTTTATGTTTGACATTATAAAACTTCAGTAGGGCACACAAAACATTAATCACGGCAAGTCTGTGACAAAATTAAATTAGGTTTTGGATCGATCACGGTAACCTCATCGCTGCAGTGTTTATGCATTTTCTGCTGACCTGCACACACATGTATACACACAAACAATGTAAAAGGTCTATCCATGCTGCTGATCTGTTTATACTTGGATACCCTGAAAACTCTGAACACTATGCATGACTGTCATTCAAGCAAGGAACACATTGTACCAAACATTATTTTTGACTACGTTTTGTTGTTTGCTGGGAGTAAGGCTGCAGCTTTTCATGGGTCCATTTCTCTGCTATTTTTCAACACTGTAAATAATGCTAAAAGCACTAGCAGTGGTGCAGATCTTTCCATCTTTAAAGCTTCAGATTAGTTGGGTAACACCAGGCCAACCTGAAAAAAAATAGAATAAAATAAAATGAAAAATCTGATAGTTAGAAATATGGATGGCTGCAAGCTACCATTGCTGCAGCCACAATGTCTTCAAAGGGTGGTCTGGTAAACCAAATAAAGAGAGTGGAAAGTGAAGAAAAATGGAAGCTTCTTGTTTTTGCAATGAAAATTTACCTAAAATACACTGGAATGACTCCAAGATAGAAAACTGGCACATATAGAGGTTTGTTTTATCGCCATTTCAAGGGGAAAATATTCACTATCATGATAAGTAAATATTAATGATAGACAATCAATTATGGTTGGTGGTCAGTCCAGGAAAACATGAAGGACAAATTTCTAAATATGTTAAGTTTGTCAATTTATAATAAATTATGTTATACACATGTGGTACATATTTGATAAAGTTGCTCAGCTTACTAGAGAGTATCTTTAGCAAATTCGCCCAAAATCAGTGGCGCAATGCTCACAAATATTGCAAAGAACCCCAGTTTTGTATGATTTTACAGCTCTGAGTTAGAATGTTAATGTTCAAAATAAAACAGATAGAAGAAGTCTGATCAAGAATTGGATGTTTTAGAAGCTTGTCTATTTTTCCTTTAAAAAGGTTCAGATTGTGACCGAGCAATTAAATGAGTCACAAAACTGTTGCAAAATATCATTTGGACAGATGAGTGTAAAGTAGAGATGTCTGGTCAAAGTACAGAAAAATGTTTGGAGGAAACAAAGTACTATATCAACAAACAGCCCATAGCAAATCTAACATGGTGGTTCACCAAATGTCCCTAGACTCACATTTGAGGGTAACTGTCCAAAGAAAAAAAAAAGATTTGTCATAAGGACAGTGATCCCACAGCAACCAAATCTACACAAGAATGAGCAAACAAAAACAAAGAAGCCCAAATTAAATGCTTTGGCAGCACCTTCTGTAAGCTGTGTATGACAAATTTTAATTTTTCAGGTTTCTATGTGTAATAAAGATACAATAAAAGACAGCAAGCTTTTCTTTCCACTTCACAATTATGACCTTTTTATGTTAGTTTATGGCATAAAACTTAAAAAGAAAAAAAAAACTTTACTACTGAACTTAAAACATGTGCAATAGTTTAAGTATGAAATCACTCAGATTAAATAAAAACTACGGCGGATTATTGTTTAGAGAAAGATTTAAAAAAAGTTCCAAGATGATCCCAGCTCAGAAAACTTTAACATACACTGAAAGACAAAAAGAGCCTCTTTGCAAGAGCTGTTTTTCAGAGCAGTGAGTACCTTGTTTGGGCTCATGGGTGGACACATCCAGTTGTATAGGTAGTAATGGAGACTCTTGTCACTGATGGTGAACTTTAGTTTTTCCAAAAAACTCAGGTTATCCATCACATCAAGGGCACAGAATATGTCAAAGCCCTTCTGTTTGTGGGAACAAAATAAGTGTATATTTATTTTTTGCAACAATGGGCCTGGTTGTTAAATCAGAGATGTTTACTTTCAAATTGACTTACACTTTTAGCCAGGATCAGAATGTCCTGCATGAGTTCATCCATCCCTGTTGCATTACAGGCAGCGTAAAAAAGAAACGCTGCTTTGAGATTGGTGTGAATAGGATGGTTTAACACCCTGGAGCAGACGGTATAGAAACTCACCATGTCGGTCAGAGTACCATCGTCTGCCTGTGTGCAAGGAAAGGAAGGTCAATAAATTTTTTTACCCACTGCAGAGCAGCATAAATTCTTCACAAAAAGTGTTCTCTAAGTTCAAAGGAATTTAAAGTAGAGATACAGGGAGGTCAGACCTCAACCACATAGGTGTCATTCACATTCTCCTTTGGTAAGAACCAGTGCTCTATTTCCTGCAGCGATAAAAGGGGGCTGAGGTGGAAGTTGTTGAAGTTTTTCTCCAGTAACAAGTGGATCCCTGAGGAATCTTCTTTGGTCATAGGACGCAGACCTTTAATCTTTGTCACCTTGAAAAAAACAAACAAGGCAAAACTTTAATGTTTTATTCAATATGTTATTCAAAAACTTCTTTTTCAGTCTAACATCTCTGCACTTTCAGCAGCAGTGCTGTAGCTTTGTCTTTAGATGGCAGTACACACTAACCTCAGGTAAGTGGTTCAACCTAATGGCTCGCTGTAGATTCATGCTCTGCTTCAGACCGGGGTAGTTGACCTCCATTAGCTTACGAGGATTCAAAGGGCGATGCCATTGGCTAAAGGGATTCATTATTTCATAACATGGATGAAAAAGACAGATGTTTCATTAGAGGAAAAAAAAGAATCAAATGTATGGTCTACAGGAGTCTATTATAAATGACAAATATGACCTTGCAAAAGTTTTGACTTTTGACTTTAAGTCAAACACTAACACGTTAAGTTTGTTTAAAAACTAAAACAATGTGATTGTTACTCTCTCCCCATATAGGGTTTTACTTGCTGCTACGATAGACCTTACTGTGTTAAGTTTACCATTAAACATAGACTTTGTCTCATATGATCCTTCATCCATGCCAAATTTTAAGATGACTCTTTTTATTTTTTATTCCCGCTTATCCATATTTATGGACTGAGCGGTTCAAAGTTGTCCTGTCAGTTTTCACTGGAGCTCTGAGTCTCAGGAGCTCCTGCAGAATTACCGTCGACCCTTTGGCTGCATCCCTGATTAATTCCCTATTTGCTGTCTGTCAGTTTAGGAGGAAGGCCATGTCTTGGATTGCAGTTATGTTGTTATCTTTTCACTTTCAGATGATTGATGTACGTGTACAGTAGAAGAGCTCTGCAAGATGTTTAAAACATGGGACATTGGTCATACATTTGAACTTATCTAAACTTATGTCCCTGTACCTTCTACAGTGTTACTTTGTCTTAATGTTGCTGTTTCTTTATTGATTTTCTCTAACAAACATCTGAGATCTTTACAAAAGCTCTATTTATGCTGAATTTGAATTATAAACAAGTGGACATCTTTTAAACGAAACTACTGAAAGCACGTGCGCATGATTATGTTGAGGTTTATCTTAATAAATTAAACGAAATTCAAATGGCTGCCAGATTTATTTGTGAGCAAACACCATGGGAGTGTGTTTCTCTTCCCTCTCTTTCGCAATTATACAATACTTTTAATGACATAACATAAGATTCCCCCCCCCCCCCCCCCCCCAAAAAAAAATGTTGATGTTTGTATTTGTAAAACATCTTTCAAAAGGTAAGATAAAAAAATTGATTTTTAAATCATTGTTTTATGTCTTGCTAAAAATAAGTAGCTCATCACTTTTTTATGTGAGTCAGTCATGTGCAGCAGCTACTACCTGCAGGAGCCTATTGGTGTTGGCAGCACTGTTCCAGCTGCGTAGACAGCCTGAAAGAGACCTTGCTGGTTCACCCTTCTGGTAAGTTCTCGAATGAGAACCGGTGTCATTCGCTTGAGGCGCAGTTTCTTGTGGACACACAGGAATTTGACCTGCACCAACTGCTTCTTGCTGCAAAACAGATTTCAGGCCCTTGGCTTGAACCTTTATGCACTAATGCTGGTCATAAGATTTTACACGACACATATCTTAGCAAGAATTTATGAGCTACTCACATCTCATAAATCTTAACATCAGCTGGTACAGCGGCAATGAAACCCACTAACTTCTTGTTAGAGTCTACTCTAACGCCCAGGTGCCATTGGAGCAGCCAGTTTGGAGGCTGTAAAGTCCTTAGGAGGAAATCAGTGATATGTATTAAACTTTTTTTTATATATTTATACGAAATGCATATTTCCTTATGCTTAGTGACCAACAATTAGCTATTGCTCCTTCAAAACTGATGGCAAATATTGCATTCAAAGTAAGTATTATATGGTTTTACACTTTGGAGCCAAAGATTTAAATATGATCAATTCAGAATAGATTAGAATTAACAGTTTGGTTTATTTGAGAAAAAAAAAAAGAAGCTGAGTTATATCGGCTGAGACAATAATAAGTAAAACCGGTTAAACTTTTTAGCATGGGGTTCATTAAAGCAAATATACCCTCTGGATTATTAACATAGTCCTTAAATGTGTCAATATTTGAAAACTTAATCTTAATAAAGAGATCATTTTACCACAGAAGATATTCTGTAGAGAAGTCAGATCTGATTGTGTTGTCATCTTCTTCCATGTAGTTATCATTTAACAGATGGCACAGCTCTCTTAACTGTAACCAAAGAAAAGCACAAATTAAACATAACTATGTTTTATTAACGCCTGTGGGTGATACTTCAGTATCCACCTGCTAGAGCGATTGTGTCTAAATGACACTGTTTTCGGAAATTGAAGCAATAAACTTGACTGGTTCAGTGATCCGGATGCCAGAAGCTACTCAGCAATGTTAAATCCATTCTTCTCTTTCAAACAATCAATGATGACCACCAGCACATGCAATGTCCTTATTTAAATAGGGTGGTCAATTATATTTTTAAATCTATTATTAACCCTTTTGTCATTTGCATTACCCCCCCCCCCCCCCCCCCCGTCCCTCAGTGAGGTCTAGAAACAGAAGCTCTATATCCAGCCATTCAGCAAAGATACTGCAAGTAAAATTAGGTGTATTTACCCTTGATTTGAATTCGTAAATGAGATAGTTTGCCAATAGAATTAGTGTTTTTACTCTTCTGATAAGATAATTTCATAATATGCACTCTAAATAAGACAATCCAGTTGTGTTTTCTTATTTTAAATCTAAATTGTCTTGTTCCATTGCCAAAATGTCTCTTATCTCCTCCATTCAAGAACAAATGCACTTATTTAAAGAAAAAATGTCTTCACTAGATCTCGATTTTTAAGTTAAGTTGAAAAAAAAAAAAGTTAGGAAAAAAAGGTAAAAAGCTAATCGAAAAGTTAAAAAGTAAAGTAAAAAAGTTAATAAACCTAGTGAACAATTATATTTAGGTTTATAAACTAATAAATGTAAGTGCCAGTATCAGCATTAATGCATCTAAGGTTATGTTGTACCAAAAGAAAATTAGTTTTTTTCCCTCTCAGAGTGTTTTTCATGAATATCTTATAGAGGCACTTTTGTTATTTTTATTAATATATTCGGGGAAGTTCTTGTTATTACACTACATTAAATTTTTGCTATCAAAAATACATATTTTTTGAATGTTACAAAGGTAATAATTTCTTGTCCTGGATTCCAATAACACTACTGGCTTGAAATTTGGGTTTTCAAATTATTTCACTGAGTGCCCTATAAAGCGTTAATTGCACATGAACAGTATTTGTAGATAACCTGCAACTCACCCAATAATTGCGTATGTAACATTTATTTTTTGCAGATTTAGCTGAAAAACATTACACATTATCCCGAATACACCATCTCTGACTTCTATTATGGGGGTAACATCCAGTTGTGTTTTTTATTATTTTTTTTTTTTATATTTTACTTTATATTTTATTTAATTTCAGCAGGGACATGGAAGCTGTAAGGGGTTGATCGAAAGGTGTTTAGGGCTAAAGACAGAACAATCCTGGAAAAAACCCTGCAGAAGACCTGGGACTAGGTACAGGTTCCTCTTTCATTAGCCACGACTACAAGTAAACGGTTTCAGCAAAAGCTTATCCATGTGTTAAAATGGCATAGTCAAAGCTTAGATTTAAGTTCTACCCAGAATTTATGGAAAAACCTAAAAAAAGCTATTCACTCCCATCGTCCATTCAGTACGGTCTGAATGTATTTGAGCTATTTTACTGAGTCTGCCCTCTAATTGGAGTAAAAGATGATTCCAAATTAACGGAATATAAACCCCTATCCAAATTTCTTATTGATTTAAAGAAGAGAACCATGTGATTTTATTCTTCCACTTAACAATGATCTTATTCTCTGAGTTGGTGCACATTATTACAACAAAATCAATTATATTTGAGCAATTTGACATAATGTGAGAAAGCTCAAGGTGTGTGAATACCTCAGCAAGGCCCTTTAACAACTATTTCTTTGGATGATTTTTATGAAAGAAAGACATTGAGTGTCAGCTTTTGTTTGGCATTCCCAAGGCCCCAAAGCCTCATTAAAAAATAAAATACCGTTGCCCAAATCTATTCTATTTTTTGATTAAAAAACCTGCATGTATGCACCTGGACCTGCATGACAGAGATAACCACACACAAATGCTCAAAATATGAGAGTAAAGACTGAGCGTTTTCTTCATGATAATTTTTTTTTTTCTACAGGTTTGCAATGACTGACATGGATAAATAGAAAGCTTGATTTACCACAGAAGTGTTGCTCAAATCCAGAGTATCCCATGAGAATCCCTGAGGAAGCAAGTAAGGCTCACTTTGGATACAGGTGCCCCTCTCCTCTATTGGGCCGTGTGATGTAATAACGTCACCTGAGTAAAAGCAAAAAGATAACAAATTAAGTTATTTTACATTTTATACCTAACATGAACAGAAAATGAACAGTAAATTGACAAGAATGTATAAAGTTTCTACTGCCGATAATGGATGATAAATACATGTGAAGATATGAAGTTTATGACGCCACAACACTGAAGATCTGAAATGTAAAATTTTTGGAGGGTTCTCCTCTCAGCTGTACTGGACCCGATCCACGGTTGGTTCTGTGAGCTCCCTGTGGGCTGTGGTTTACACCGGTGTTTCCCAACCTTTTTTGACTTGAGTAAAACTTTGGCAGTACTTGAGTTGAGGGGGGATGAGTGGGGATAGCATCCCCCTTCTTAAAAAAAAAAATCTTAAAAATCATTCCCCTTCTTAAATGACCACCCCCCTATACCATCCCCTGTGACATTTTATTACTGAATGTGTAAAATTTTTACTATATATTAACAGTAATAGCAATGATATTGCCCTTACAACATTCGGCGTTCTGTGGGCTTACGAGTAGCCAGAGCAAAATAAATAAATCGAACAAATGGCCTACTATGACTATGAAGCTGATCCCAGTGAGAAATTTGTCAACTGCATGTGTTCCTAACTATATAGGGGCAGTGATAGCCATGCCAGTCCAGGGACTGACTGCAGTTCTACTGTAAGGTGCATCGGTCAAGGTCAATGACCGGCCAACCTGACATGTAACAACCATACCATGCATGTTGCTTTAGGTTAATAAACTAAGTTAATAGAGCAATGTATGGTTCCAAAAAAATAATAATAATTCCACCATCCCCCCTCTTTTTTTTTTTCTTTTACAACTAGCTGCCCTTTGGGCCTTTTTTCGTACCATGAGTACCCCTCAGTCAAAAGTACTGATTGTCCAAAAATCGAATGTACAATAACTGATTATAAAAGTCTATTTTACTTAATCTTTTTATTTATTTCATTCCTAAATTTTATGCTTTCCATCTCAAATAAAAAAAAACATAGATATGTTTCCTCGAAGTTAGTAAATAATCTAAATAAATACAATATATGTCATATCATAAACCTGTATTTATAAAACTGGAGCTCCTCTGAGTATTCCCCCCTTTAATCTTATTTAAACTAGATGAATTCGGAACAAAACACAGAACAAAATTATAGTCAGACTGACTTTCCTAGTTTTACTTTGCTTTCATCATGACACCTGACCTTGCTCTAATGAGCTCCGACAGCTCAGTGTGAAAAACAACTGATCAGCTGGTCTGTTCCTCTGCTTGGATCTGATGTGTGTCAAAGCTGAAGGTGAACTAAAAAATATAAGAAAAACTTACTTGTTGAAAAAAATCTTGTTTAATTTTTGAATTGGGTCCTCATAAAGAAAAACAGATCCCAGCCGTATTCTGTTTTACTACCGAATATATGAAATATTTTCATGAACCCCTTGCAATACACTTATGGACCACTAGGGTAACACACCCCTGATTGGGAAACACTGGCTTACAAGACCTGAAAGCATCTCTGTTTCTTAATTTGCTGTCTGCTATGACTTCTGTGCAGACAACCTCCCCGTTTTCATGTCTGATTCCAGGGGTAGGAAGCTGTTTTTAAAGGTAATGAGTATTATGGCCTTGGTAGCTGTCTAGTTTCGATCATTTCCTAGACAGCACGAGTTTTGTGAAGTTTTGTGACACTCAAAGCCACCTCTCAATGTGTGGCATAGTAGTTAGGTGCCTAATTAGTCACAACACCATTTAAGTTATTCATTACACCTCTTGCTAAATCTCTAAAGCATTGAACTCCTTCAGATCCAACGTGAAGCTGTCTGTCTTTTATCTCTACAGTACACTTCCATAAAAAAAAAAAAATCATAAATGATTCTGTCTGTTAAACCTCATTTTCGTTTTATTTCAAAACGAATGGCAAGTTCATTAATCATGACACAACCGAGCTTTTATTCCCGTAGTGAATACATGTTTACGGTGCTAACACAAACAACGTGGAGCAGAGATGTAGATATGTAAGGTTCTCTATTCACAGCACAACAGTAAAGGAAGCGGAATGTGATGATGCTTACTTTGAGATTAGTGTGTTGATTATTTGACTCCAGGGATTTGGCATGTTTTGTTTTTTTTACCCTTCAAACCAGTGTTACGCAATCAGAAGCACAGTATTGTTCAGTAAACACATAATACCTATGTCTAAAAAATGTAATTCAAAGCATGTATTTAGTTATGTAATAATCAGATACTCGTTGAATTGGAGAATATTAAAAACATAATATGCTCTACAAAATATTAAAGTCTTCATTATAGGTTTGTTTTAAAAATCTCATAAAATGTAGTTTTTATAAATGAAAATTATATATTGATACCTTTCAAAACTATTCCATTATTACTTTTTGAGGTTGTACTCTATTTAAAGATCCCATGTGCTCGATTATACAAAACTACATCCCCACTATATTAAAGTGACAGCTTATCTTAAATCCAAAATAAGAAAAAAAAACTCTTATTCTGCCTTATTCTGTGTAATATAAATTACATTTCTTCTTTTACCTGACCTTCTGTCTTTGACTGAACCAATTTAACAGGTGTCAAACAGAGACTCCTATAATTTAATCCTTAATCTGATTACAAGTTCTTATCTACATAACAATCATGGGAGGACAACTCTCTGCTCACCCAGTTTGGGAACAGGCTGCGGGTCCCAGAAGCGGTAGGTGTGTTTTTTGGCCTGTTGTAGGGTCTTGGGCAGGCTGGAGCCCAGAGAGAAGAGATGAAGGGCTTTCTGGATCTCTTGCTGTTTCTTCTCTGGCAGCGAGTCAAGCTGGCCAAGAGCACGAATAAGCAAATACAGTTTAGCTGCAAAATGTGTCAGTATGAGAGAAGCTTAACAGGTAAACATGACTATTTGACCATAAAACACTGTTTCATTTATTGCAGATAAGCAAACCAATTATTTCTTTAAAAGGGAAATAGTTGACTAAGTGTAAAAAGCTGTACTTATATATATAAATTAATACACTAACCATAGCAAACGGGTCTTTTGGTCCTTCTGGTTTCCAAGCATTTTCTCTCTTTTGCTTCTTTTTGCTCTTTGCAAGACCACCACCTGCACCATCCGTCAGATTCTTATCTCTGAGAAACATTAAAATTCCTGCATATTCATTGCATTCATTAAAGTAAATTAAACTACAAGCCAAGGGTTTTGTACTTACAAATATTTTGAGTCAGTCATTGTTTAAGAAAATAGCTCCTCGAGGCTGTGGACCTTGAGGCTGCTTTTATTTTTAACGTATTTGCAGTTGCTTCACCCTTATCTTTAAAAGCAGTGAGGGAGGAGACTCGCTGGCTGGAATACTCAACCCATCTCACACCCTGCTGACTGATAGAAGAGGAGTACTGACCAATCATGTACTGTCTCAAATTTTATATGTTTATTAGATTCTGTGGAGGAAAAAAAAGAATACGTTATCAGATATAAGTTATTGCTGAGTATCTGGGTCCCATATGGTCTTTTATTTAAAATATAGAAACCTAAAAAATGTGTCATGTCCTGTAAAAATGGCTGTTAAGCATTAAATGATCACAGCTGTGGAGCAGTGCTAATGGTAGCCAAAAATGTTACCTTTCTTTATAAAACATTTTCCTCTGATTAAACATAGGTGTGATAATAAGGGTTTTGTAGGACTCAAAGGCAGGCATGAAGCAGGCAGAATTGTGTATTATGTAGGTCTGGGGTCTGCAACCTGTGGCTCTGGGGCCGCAAGTGTCTCTTTGGACCCTCCACATTGGCTCTTAATAGTGTCTTGAAATGATATAATGAACCGGCTAAAGAAGTATAATAACAAATAGCAACCTTAGGATGCTTTAGTGGGCTTTTTAAAAAATCTAAAATTTATTTCTAATGGGAAAATGACATTAAAAGTAACAGAAATATGTTTTTAAGATCAATTTTCATTGTCATTATCTTGGAAATTATACGTAGTTTTTTTCTTTTACACCAAACAATAACATATAGAAGAAAATCCCTGCTTCATCTTTATAAAAAGGATTTACGATTGACCTTATTCTAAAATCCAAATAAAATATACTTTGTTAAAAAATTGCAAAATATGTTTTATAGCAGATATTTAACCCCAAAAAAGTTGTGTTTTATTAAAATATTTTACAATATATGCATCTCTAAATGAATCTTAGCTACTTAGCTGAGCTCCTTGGGTTTTAAAGGTTGCAGACCCCTGATGTAGGTTGAATGGGGAGCTAAAGTAAGGCAATACCTTAACAAAGTAAATAGATAAACATAAAAAAAAAAACCCAGTAAGAAATCAGTAAATTTAGGGGGGAAAAAATGGAAGATCAAAGTCCAACATATTAGGACAATAAAAAGATGTGAATAGATTTAGAAGAGATTAACCTATGTTCTTGTTAGGGCATAATTTTTCCAGAAACTATAGTGATAGTTAAAGAGAGCACTCTACATGATTTAAATGCATATAGAGCTCCAGCACTTTTGTTAGATTACTTCGTATTGATTTCTCATCAGCTTTTAACTGTATCCAGCACCATATTTCAACAGAGAAGCTGCACTAATCTTATGGCATTGACCTTGTTCTTATATGCTGGTAGACGGATTTTTCTTTTAACTGTCTCAGTAGGCGAAAGTTAAGTTGGTTCTCTGTGATGTTCTCTATTTTTTTTTTTGGGTTCCCTCTGGGGTGTGTTCCCTTTTTTTTATGTTATGGTCCAGTGAATGTCGATGTCAGCATTCACTGAGTCACATTTCAAAGTCGGCTAATGATTCTGCCAGGATCGTTAGCACGAGCCAGTGTTCAGATTTCGCTCTTAGATTTTAGTTCTCCTTTTTAAAGTTAAATTTTTAATAAATGGCTAATGCTAACAAAAAAAAAAAAAGAAAAAGTAAAGCCTTATTTGTGATCATCTCTGGTAAAACAGCTGAGATTGTGAACCTTTATAAAAACCTGGCGACTATCCTTGACGAAAGACTGACCTGTGAAGCCCATGAGTCACACTGTTAGAAAGGCTCATCAGCGGAAACAGCTGAAATCCATTTTTATGCAATTGTTTTACTCTTGTTCTACTGAACTATTTAGTTTCATCCTCATCCTCATGCTTGAGCTTTTAAATTTCAAGAACAAAATTAAGCTTGTGGAACTGCTAAAATGTACGACAAAGTCACGTTGCAGCTTTAAATGACTTTTACTGCACATCATGAGGTCAGCCTAGAAGGGTCCTGATTATTAAATATTCTTTTTACGCCTGATTAGGCATCATATTTCATTAGTCTATTTGTTCACCTACCGAGTTAAACCTGTTTTTTTAGATAAAAATATTTTATTAGTTTATTTTTTGCATTTTAAGCAAACATCTGGTTTTACAAAATCCTTGTGCTTTCAGTGAGAAACACCTTACGTACATTTAGAAATCTGCGTTTATCAGCTGTTCAAGGGGTTAAGTACTATAGAACAACCTAATAAAAAAAAATAAAAATAGTTAGACCATAAAAAAAAATCCTCTCCCCCTGCTGATTATTCATAGCCCTTCTGAAAACAAGTGCTGTGACATCATACATGATGAACGATCTCTCTGTTCACCCCCAGGGATGTTAAGTGTTTTCCCTGTTGACTCCGTTCCTTGCTGCTTGGATTTGTCTGGTGTGCGCCGTCACAAGCATCGAGCTCACTTCATCCGTATAACCATTTGTGCTTAAACAACCCACCAGGCTTTGATCCAAGCGCTTTAAACTAAAATATGCATGTGAAACAGACACAGCCTGCATGTTTTTCATCTTTTAAAAGTGCAGCCTGAAGCTATTTTTGTCCATGCTTCACGCCTCTGTCTCATTATCCTGCCACTCAAAGCTAAATGCCACGAGGAGAAGGATGCTACTGACACCTGCCATCATTCAGGGCGAGGCAGAGGAGCTTGAGAGAAGTGGATAAACAACTGCTGATTGAACAACAAAGAGGTAGAGGGCAAGAGAAAGCACACAAGCATGTTCATTATGTAGTTCAGGTTCTCTTAACAGAAAACAGACTACATTTACAAATTGGGGCCTACATAATCGGGTTACATTCACATAGTTCTTGCATAAAAGGGAACTTTGTTTTAACACAAACTGGTGACACTGGGAGTAGAAATACAAATCCTTAAGGTCTGTGCATGTGAATTTTGAGTCCCTGCAACATCTATTCTGTATTTTTCTCTAAAATCATCCAGTTTTCAGTTAAATGTGAAAACAATTTAATTTGCCGCAGGAATGATTGTGCACAGACCACTAAAAGAATACGGAGGAGTTTGTTCTTGTGTAAAAAATATCTTCTTTTTTTCCACCCCTTTTTATTTTGCTGTGTGAACACAGACGCGATTTGAGGCTGCTTATATTGCTGCCTGTCATGTGCTATAATTTTTGACATCAGATTTTCTACCTGGCTGTGGCTTAAATGAGGACAGCTTTATGTACCGCGTAAACCATGGTATTTCATCAGCTGTGAGGATGATGGGCTCACAAATGCAGCGTCTGCTCAGCTGCACATGGTGTTTTAATGATTATAGGGTACATAAAATCCTAAAAGATTTAATTACATTAACCATGATCGGCCAAAGGCTCTGAGTTTTCACTGTAGCATCATTTTCATCATTCAGTTTTCAACTTGTCGGAGCAAAACAATTTATCAAGAGTAGAAAGATATATTAAGTCAAACTGATTATTAATCATGATCTGTTATATGTATTAGAAATATAAACAGCGTATGGTCAACTGCAGGCCCTGCACACATATTTTTACCCCTTGAGTTGCTTCACACCATGACGTTTCTGCCCATTTGTTGGTTTTGCACAAACTTGTTCTTTCCTCCCTCTCCTGGGTGGCATGCAGAGGTGTGGCAAATTCGGTTCCAGTCTCAGTTCCTGCTCCAGAGAGCTTTAGTTCCAAATGCAGCCTTGGTTCCAGGCAGACTCTGCTCCAGACTCAGCTCCCTGTTCCAGAGAACTTCTCTTCCAGAACTTGCTTCTACTGGTGATGGACGGTGCTCCAGGCAGCTCAAAACATTTATTTTTCTACACACATTTCTTTAAATCTATTTTTTTTTTATCGTTAAATATCGCATCACCTCCCCTCTTTTTGTTGTTCCTCCTTAGCCAGAACAGTAGCATGTTATTTTAATTTTATGTGATAGCCCTAATAAGAAATCCTGAATTTTATAGTGGATTTTTATTTTCTTTTTTTTTATTTACAAATAGAAATCTAAAAAAGTATATTAGTTATATGTGTTTAGCCATGATTGATCCATCTTTCATCTTCTGGTAAATGCCAACAAGCAGCATGATGTTGCCACCCAGGAAGATGCCGAAGGCCCCTGACTGACAGGAGCTCAAGAAAATAGATTAAAATTAATAAAACATTCATTAATATATATCCAGTAAACATATCAAATGGAATAACTGAATATTATATATTTCTTTTATTTATTTTTGTAAAGTTAAATGTCCTAATTCTCAGACTAAACTTAAATATCCATAATAACTCAACACCCATCTGTATGTATATGAAATGTTTTCTTCCCCCCCCCCCCGCCTCAGTACACCTGGTGACATGTTTATCACCACTCAGTAGATGTGGCAGAAGGGAAGAAAGGCAGTAATAACCATGCTGTCTAGAAAAAATATAAAATCAGGTTTTTTGAAAAGGAAAGAGAGACACGGAAGTAAGTCACTTTGTAACCTTGATTTTTCCAAATCAGGTTATTTGACTGCAGTGTGAGGGATAAAATGTCTTCATTTCACCAACAGTTATTCAGTGAAGAGAAATTATTAGCAAAATAATAATAAATAAAATATTTTTTTACAACACATACACACTACTCTAGCTTTATTGCACTCCTCCTCTCTGTTCCAGAAATTTAATATAATCATTACAGGGAATTTGTGTGGATTTATTCATCAGTTTCATTTTTTTTGCCAAAACAAAAAAGGAAAAGCATATACGACACAAATTTCCATACTATTCTCTTCCATAATTGCCTTTATGAAATAATCTTGGTGTGATGATAGACTTAGACCTACAATTTCAGAGGCACATGAAGGCACTTACCATGTAAACCTTTTTTTCAGCAGAAAAAACATTTCCAGAATTAAAGGACTAATTTCCCAAGCAGAAAATAGAAAAACTCATTCATGCATTTATCTTTAGTAGAATTGATCACTGCAACAGTATCTTGGCCTAAAAAGTCCGTCAGACAGCTGCAGCTGATCCAAAACGCCGTTCAAACCCACTATGTGCACCCCGAACTATAACCAAACATGGAGAAGCAGCATTTAACTTCTATGC